TCTTGAGTGGCTAGCAAGGATACAAAGATCTTAGTCAAGGCTCAATAATCTCCTCTCTTGCCTCTCTCTAAACTGAGGTAGATATCATCAGTCCCTAGGGACTTATCCACCTTAATGTTCTTCGAGAGATCCAATACCACTTCTTTCTTAGTCTCAAAATGCCCTAGCATATCAGCATGCTCCACACAAATGTCATTATCCTCCATATCCTGGGAGAATACCGATGCAAATAGTCATTTAGGATCTCACCCGCATCCTCTGCTTCTAAGCACACATTCCCTCCTTTATCCTTGAGTGGTCCTACCTACTCCCTAGTTATCCTCTTGCTTTTAATGTATATATATAGAATGCCTTGGGATTCTCTTTAATCATACTTGCCAAGGTCATTTCATGGTCCCTTCTTGTTCTCCTGATTCTCTGCTTAAGTACTTTCCTGCTTTTCTTACATTCTCCATGGGCCCAATCCAATTTTAGCATCCTAAACCTTACATATGTTTCTTTTTCCCTTTTGACTAAATTCACAACCTCCCTCATTATCCAACAGTCCCTTACCTTGCCATCTTTGTCCTTCCTGCTTACTGGAACATGCCAGTCTTGAACTCTCATCAGCAGGTCTTTAAACAATTCCCACATATCAAATGTGGACTTGCCTGATAACAGCTCCTTCCAACAGTAAGATCGAGTACAACCGCAGGACAGGCAATGGACAGAGGACTCTCTCTGATTGACAGAGTTGAAGGACTGACAGGGGTTTGGGGCTCTCTGATTGACAGAAATGCAGGGGTGGGTCTCTCTGGTTTACATAGGTGAGGGTGGTGCTCCCTGATTGACAGGAGAGGGGCAGTGCTCTCAGACTTACAGCACATGAGGGGGTCGGGGTTCTCTGATTGACAGACAGGGCAGAGACTCACCCTTTGTACTTTGAATCCACTCAAGATCATAGGCATCTCCGTGATGTTCAACATTCCACAGACAGCTGCTCTTGCTGCATCATGAGATCCACTCCCAGTTCTATACAGTGTCATATGCACACTTTGGACTTCTCTCTCTAATAAAATCGCACCATGCTAGTTTGTGGCAGCACCACTCCCCAGTTACACTTCATCTTCCGGCTCATTCGAAATGCTAACAAGAAACTTTTTCTTTTCCTTTCAGACATCAGGGCGCACAAGATGCAACAACTTAGAGATACCCATAGCCTTCGGAACCTTCCTCCCCTCCTCTTCCCTCTGACTCCATCACCTCCCCCAACACTACCTCCTGTTATGTATTCATTATTACACCTGACCCTCTGTTCTCCAATGCTCAACATTCTGTATTCAGCAAAGGTTTTGGTTTTGTCCCTCTGTGTTCCCACCTCCTTCCGTCACTTTCGCCTCTGTGCTTAATTCTTTGGACAAGAGTCCTCTCCTCATCCCACAGACCCCTTCAACCAGCTGCAATACTTTTCCTCCACCTAGACCCCTCCCTCTGTCCTTTTACCTGCATTTGAGCTGTTCATTGAGAACTGTTGGCATGACAACAGTTTCCTCAATTTCTCTGCCCCTGACACATCTCAACCTATCCTCCCAGGAGCTGACTGCACTCCACACTCTCAGATCCAACCCTGACTTTGTTATTAAGCCTGCCGATAAGGGTGGTGCTGTTGTTGTCTGGCAGACTGACCTCTACATTGCAGAGGCTGAGTGCTGTCTGTCAGATACCTCCTCCTGTCTCTGCCTGGACCATGACCTCAGCATGGAACATCAGGCCATTGTCAACTACGGTCATCAACTTCATTTCATCTGGTGATCTCACTCTCTACTGCCTCCAAGCTGATAGTCTTCTAACCCCACACAGCTCGTTTCTACCTCCTTCCCAAAATCCACAAACAGGACTGCCCGGGCAGCTCCATTGTTTCTGCCTGTTCCTGCCCCACAGAACTCATCTACCTTGACTTGGTTTTTTCTCCCCGGTCCAGTCCCTGCCCACTTACATCCATGATTCCTCTGATGCTTTACGCCAGTTTTGGAATTTCCAGTTTGCGGACTCAAGCTGCCTCCTCATTACCATAGATGTGCAATCCCTTTTCAGTCCATTCCTCACCCGGATGGTCTCAGGGCTCTCCACTTCTTTCTGAAGCAAAGGCCTGAGCTGTCCCCATCCACCACCACCATTCCTACCTGGCTGAGCTCATCCTCATCCTGAACAAACTTCTCTTTTAATTCCTCTTATTTTCTTCAGGTCAAAGGGGTGGCCATGGGTATCCATACGGGCCCCAGTTATGCATGTCCCTTTATGGGGTATGTGGAACATTCCTTGTTCCAATCCTATTCTGTCCCCCCACCCCCAAAAGCCTTTCTCTGGTATATTGATGGTATCATGGGTGCTGCATCCCTCTCTTGTCTGGAATCGGAAACATTTATCGATTTCGCTTTCAATTTCCAACCTGTACTCACCTCCATCTGGTCCATCTCTGACTCCTCCCTTTCCTTCCTCAACATTCCTGTTTCAATTTCTGGCGATAGACTGGCCAGCAATACCCACTATAAACCCACTGACTCCCACAATTACATTGACTATATATGCTTACATCCTGCTTCCTGTAAAGACTCTATTCCATTCTCCCACTTTCTCCGTCTCTGTTGCATCTGTTCCGATGATGCCAACTTCGACAAGGGATCCTCCGAAATGTCCACCTTCTTCCTCAACCGAGGATTCCCCAGTAACATTGTTGAGAGGGCCCTCAGCCATGTCCGACCCATCTCCGCACTTCGGCCCTCAACCCCTCACTTCCATTCCGCAACAGCAATAGTGTTCCCCTTGTCCTTACCCACCAGCCCACCGGCGTCCACATCCAGTGGAACATTAGCTACCATTTCCTCCACCTCCAGCGAGATGCCACCACCAGACACATATTCCCCGCTCCTCCCACCCCTTGTCAGCATTGTGCAGGGACCGTTCCCTATGGGGCAACCTGGTACACTCTTCCTTCAGTCCCAATACATCCCCACAGCCCCACAGCACCTTCCCCTGCCACTGCAGAAGGCATAACACCTGTCTGTTTTCTTCCTCTTCCCCCTAGTATCCAAGGGGCCAAATACACCATCCAGGTGAAGCAACACTTCATCTGCACTTTCTAGAATCTAGTCTACTGCATTCGCTGCTCACAATGTGGTCTCCTCTACATTAGAGAAATGAAGCATAGACAAGGTGACCAGTTCACAGAACACCTATGTTCTGTCCACAAAAAAGACTGGGCTTCCAATTCCCTGCCACTTCAACACATTACCCTGTTCTCTGGCCAACATCTCTTCTCAGGCTTGCTGCTGTGGTCTAGCGAAGCTCAGTGCAAGCTGGAAGAACAGCACCTCATCTTCGGCTTGGGAACTCTACAGCTTTCTGGGCTCAATATCGAGTTCAACAACTTTAGGGCTTGAGCTCACCCATGTACTTACACTAACCCCCACACACCAGACCTTGTTATCACATAGTCTGTTATTATACACAACCCATTTTTAGCCACTAACAGTCCCCATTAACAGCCATTCACCCTTCTCCTAGCCAGATTGTTATTCACTCCTTTGTCTGTCCAACTGTTCTCCTCTCTCTTTGGGCTCTATCCCAACCTATTGTTTACATCTTACCACTTCCCCCCACCTTACCTTTTACATACAAACCAACACTTTTCTAGCTACCATCAGTTCTGAGGAAGAGTCACTGGACCCAAAACATTAAATCTGATTTCTCTCCACAGATGCTGCTAAACCTACTGAGCTTTTCCAGCAATTTCTGTTTTAGTCTCTGACGGAGAAACTGGGCTCACTAATTGCAGGGGAGGTGTGGGATCCCTCTGAGTGATAGGGAGGATTGGGCTCTTTTATGATTGACAGATTGGATGTGGCTCTCTCTGATTGATCCCTGTTCCTCCTAACAGACAGGTCAGGGAATTCCTGCAGGCCTGGCATTCCAACTGGAACTCCATCAATAAACACGTTGAACTGCAGCCAATATACAAACCATTGAAAAACAGAACTGGAAGTAATACCAACCACCCCAGCAAACAGAGGCTTATAAATAACAAGCAGGACAGAACACCAACGCTTCACTGGAGGTGAATTGACAATGTTACCGAGCAGGGTGATGAAATATCTGCAACCAAACACACTGGCTTGGTGAGCAAGTCTACAATCTCAAGGGTCTTTTCCCTGGGGTGGAGAAGTTCAAAACTAGGCAGCTTATTTTCTACCTCAGAAGTCAAATGATACCAGGTTATAGTCCAACAGGTTGATTTGAAATCACAAGCAATCAGAGTACTGCTCCTTCATCAGGTGGTGTTATTTTTAAGCAGACAGGAGAAAGATTTAGAAACGACATGAGGGGCAACATTTTCACACAGAGTGGTTAGGGTAGGGCATGGAATGAATCACCAGAAGATGTGGCGGGTGCAGGTACGGTTACATCATTTAAAAGACATTTGGATAAGTGCATGAATAGGAAAGGTTTAGAAGGATATGGGCCAAGCGCAGGCAGGTGGAACTGCTTTGGCCTGGAAACATTGTCGGTGTGAATCAGTAAGGCCAAAGGGTCTGTTTCCAAGCTGTATATCAGTACGTGGCTGTACCTGACCGTATGGCCGGAGCTCTCTGATTGACAGAACGGTAGGGGGCGGGTCTCACCTTCGGAGTGGGCCAATAAGGGATTTCCGTTATCGACAGAGGGTGGGGCCGGTTGTCTCTGATTGACAGGCGGAGGGCGGGGCTCCACGCTTTGCCCAGAAAAGGGCGGGGCACGTTCTGATGACAGAAACGGGGCAGCGTTCTCTGACAGGGTGCCGGCATGAGTTGGGCGACGGCGACGCATGACGACAAAGTGTGGGGCGGGGCTATCCCTGATTGGCGAGAGTCGGCCAGAGTTCTCCCTGATTGGCAGGAGTGGGGCAGGGCTATCCGTGATTGGCAAGCGGGTCGGGAATATCCCTGATTGACAGGAGCGGGGCGGGGCTAAACCCTGATTGACAGCAAGGGCAGGACTGAAGCCTGGGATCTATGAGCAGAAAGTGGCGTCGGGCGGCTGATCGCTGGATTTTATTGTTTTCTGTTGTCGGTAGAAGCGGCTCGCGGAGCCCCGGGAATTTGCTCTGGGGTTGTGCTCGGGGTGGGCTGGGAGTGCTCAGTGCGGGCACACAGACCTTCTCTCCCCCCACGGGGCCGAAGCGGACTAGCTGTACACCGCGGGGAAGATTTCGGGTGAAGCCGGGGATGAGGTGAGGGTCGGGCCGGGCCCCCCAACCCCCGACACTCGGCTTTGGCCCAATGGCTGCGGTGAATTATTCTCCTCCTTGGTGGGTAACCCTCCTGCACCGACTCCCCCACATCAACATCCAACTGGAGACGGTCAGTAGCGAGTTCCAGCCCGAAGACAGTCAGTACCAAGAGGTAAGAGACCCCTGAACCGTTGTCTTTCTGTGCCCTCACACCCGCTGTAATACCCGTAACCCGCCTGTAAACCCCCTCGGCCCCTCCCCCTCCCCCACCCACTGACCCCCGATTCCCCCCCCCCCCCCCCCCCCCTGACCCCCTCCACCCCTGGACTCACTCCCCCACCCCCGATCCCTCCGATCCTCCAGACCCCGATGCCCTCCCCAACCAACCCCTGCCCTCCCCCAGTCTCTGACCCTCTTCGCCCTTACTGCCAACCCCCTCAACTGGTCTCTCACCCCTTCTCCACTTCACCCCCCC